CTTCTTAGTTATAAAGCCTCCCAGCACAGGCTCACATTGCTCAGCACACAGTTGGTAGCAAAAGGGTCCAAAACAACAATCATTTACAGGGACAGGGATCACATAGGAGAGGGGACCAGCAGAGGTTGAGAGATAAGAGTAGAGTGAGACCAAATGTGGAGAAACATCTCATGACAGGTCATTACTCAAACAACTCGACACTCTCATTGGCCAGCAGGTCCCTGTGCAGGAAATCACAGGGCCATTCGCCATTTTGATAAGCTTCACTCAGCACCAGGCTTCCACCAGCCACTGCAGGCATCTCTCCTGGGCAGAGAAGCCCCCTCTAGCGGCTGTCAATGGTAGGGCCCATTTTGCCACCTCCTTGAGCACAGGTCAGCTTGCCACTTTTGGAAGAAAGAATGGGAAAAAAAGGCTAGAGTTTAGGGAGAACTTATTTCAAAAGCCATTGCTGTGCTTTTCCTCTTAGTCCACATTCACATAACTCCCCTTGGAGTGGAGTATTCAGGGAGCCACAGAGGCTCCAGCAGGAAGGACAGGAGACATGAAGCTCCCTCTTGGCAACTTTGGGGGCTGGCAGGCTTGACTGTGGGAGATCTGAGTGCTGTCCACCAGGGCTGTTTCTCTTCAATGGACTCTGTCACCATAGTCTCTTCATCATCCCAACCACACTAATTTGCTCTCATGGTGAGGAGTCTGCTGTTTTCCTTAATTTGGGAAGCAAGTTGGGGCACATGCATGCTTCTCAATGCTAAAGAGCTCTTAATAACCCAGATTCCACTGATTTCCTTGCTGTTTTCCCCGAAAGTTTTCCTTTTTGTGTATCTGGCAATGCCCTAGCATGAAATACATACCCCAAACCAAAATCACTGAAGACAGTTTAATTCAAACACTATTTACAAACATGGACAGGTGAAGGGACTATTACAAGAGATGGTAACATTCCAAACACAAATTATTGGAAGGAGTTTTTACTTCTACACCTGGGCTGAAGAAGCAAGGGAAAAGAACAGTCACCAGAACTCAGAGAGGGCTGTACTGTAACTGTAGCTGTAGCTGTGACTGTAGGTATAGCTGTAGCTGTAGGAAAGGGCCCACAGACAGGGGCTATGCCGACAGGTAAAGTAACACTGCCACTGTTAGCTCACAGCCTAGCAAGGAGAGAGCCAGGAGATGGATTAGAAACCTCCCTCACTTCCTGCCCTCCAATCTCTTATCAGTGTTTTCCTTTGACTGAAATTAGCAAGGAGCCACAGAGAAAAGGAGCCCACTGATAAGGTACGGAAAGCTATCCTACTGAGATACCAATGAAGGTAGAGAAGAGTGGAGAGTAGGCCTTAATGGCCAATGGAAAACACCCATCAGCTTCTTACCCAACACAGAGTTTGTATTTCCTGGAATTCTCTATCTCTATGTGATTGGTCAATTTGTTATTATACCTGCTAAGTGTTTTTATTTTTATCTCTTTGCACCTTACTTCTGTAGCATAATTTAATGGGAACAACCTCATTATCATTATAAATACTTAGAAAATGAATGCATTAGGAAGGGGAAAACATATTCTTATTACAGTCCTTTTTAGTTTATGAGCTAAATTTTAATTTTGGCTATTGTAACAGAAACTTGTTAAAACAGTGAAAAGAGAGAATTTTATTTGCCCTGAAATGATCTAATAAATGGTGCCTCCAAGGTTTTAGACACGAGGGTACCTTCCAACTTGCTATTCCTCCATTCCTAAAAGTCCTGATGATCTTGACACTTCTTGTCACGTCAGCATTCTAGCCAAAGCAGAATGAGAGAAAGCACAAAGAAGATCACACTCCTATTAAATGCACAATCCAGGAGTACATTGTTGGTAAGAAAGTAAATTAGCACAGCTATTATGGAAGACAGTGCAGGGGTTTCTTGAACAAAAATAAATAAATAAATAAATAAAACCTACCATAAGATCCAGCAATCCCACTTCTGGGTACACATACAAAAGAAATGAAGTCAGTATGTCCAAGAGATGTCTACACTCCCGTGTTCATTGCAGCATTATTCAGAATAGCCAAGATAGGGAATCACCCTCAGTGTTCATCAATGCAGAATGGATACAGGGAATGTGACATGCAATGGAATACTATCTAGCCTTTAAAAACAAGGCATTCGTTCATTGGCAACAACGTGGATGAACCTGGAGGACATTGTGCTAACTGAAACACACCAGGCGCAGAAGAACAAATACTGTGGGATCTCACTTATATGTGGAATCTAAAAAATGAAACATATGGAGAGTAGAATGGTGGTTACCAGAGGCTGCAGACTGGGAGGAGGGAATGAGGAGATGTTGGTAAAAGTGTACAAAGTTTCACTTAGACAGGATGAATAAATTCTACAGATTTATTGGTTTTTTTTAAATATCCCTTAAAGTCTCTTACATAAATGATTATTCAGGGAGTAAGGTCAGTAAAATGGCAGAGTAGGAGCTACAAGCTCACCTTTGCCCACATAAATGGGCAAAGGACTCAAGTAGACATTGCTCCAAAGAAAATCTACAAAGAAAAAGTAAGCATATGAAAAGATGATCAATGTTTTTAATCTTTAAAGAAATACAAATCAAAACTACAGTGAGATACCATTTCACACTTGCTAGCTCAGGTATTAAAAGCAACACAGAGAAAACAGGATGCAGAGAAATTGGAATCCTCATACACTGCTGGTAGGAATGTAAAATGGTGTGCAGCTGCTATGAAAATCAGTTTGGTGCTTATTCAGAAAGCTAAATATAGAATTACCATATGACCCAGTAGTTCTACTTCTAAATATATACCCAAAATAATTGAAATCAGATGTCCATACAAAAACTTGCACACAAATGTTCACGGCACTATCATTCATGATAGCTGAAAAGTGTAACTAACAAAGTGTTCAGATGGGGTGGAGAACCTGTGGCCTCAAGGCCACATGTTGCCCTCCAGATCCCCAGGTGTGGCCCCTGAACCAAATCCAAGCTTCGCAGCACAAATCTCTTTGTTAAAAGGATTTGTTTTATAAAATTTGGGTTCAGTCAAAAGACTGCACTCAACAATCCAGAAGGTCACCTGTGGCCTCAAGGCCGCGGGTTTCCCACTCCCACGTGGGAGGTCTCCACATACATGCAATAGTATTCAGCCATAAAAAGGAATGAAGTTCTGATATGTGCCACAACATGCATGACCAATAAAAATATTATGCTAACTGAAATAAGCCAGACAGAAAGGAACAAATATGTATGTTTCCACTTATATGAAATATCTGGAATAGGAAGATTCAGAGGCAGAAAGTAGATTAGGTGTTTCTAGGAGTTAGGGGAAGAGAGAAGGGTAGGGAGTTATTGTTTAATGGGTACAGAGTTTCTGTTTGGTGGATGAAAAGCTTTACAAATACATAGTGCTGATGGTTGCACAAAAATGTGAATGTAATTAATGCCACCAAATCAGACACTTAAAAAGAGTTAGAATGGCAAATTTTACGTTATATATTTTATCATATTTTTAAAATACATTATTCAGCAAAGCAAACACTAATGAAAATCATGTGTGGTAGAGAATGCATTGGCTTGTTATTCTATTAATACGTCCAAGTCAAGCCGCTTAATAATCTTCCTTAGATCGTTCCCCACTTCAAATACCTCTATTCAGAAGGACTGCCACCTCTCTCTCCTTTAACAACCTTTACCAGCCTTAATCTAGGGGGCCGATTCTCCCCTAAATTAAGAGTATTTCAGTTCAGCACTGAACCCTCCCCTTAAACTATATACTTAAATGCTTTCAGGTACTACTGGCCCTCCCTGATTCAGAGGCAGGGCAGTGGCCAACATCAGGTGTCTATAATAACTGTTATAATTAGTCACCTATTATATAATACTTACTATACACAGAATAATTATGAAATTATTATATAACTACTATGAATACAGTAAGTAATTATTTCAAACATGACAGAGCTTTCCACAGAGGGGGAAAAAGATGAATGAAACTATGTTTGTCGCTATACCTGTGTACTTTCTAGTAACTTTAATTTCTTTTAAAATTTTTTACTTTACATTTAACCCAAATCTTCCACTACATTTAGATACCCATTGGAATACACACTGTGTCCCCAACTTGAAGCTAGGCATTGGGGCACAGCAATGGACAACAGAAAAGTGCATCCTATCCCCACAGGTTGACACACTGAGGCATTTAACAGGCCTGGCCATCCTCACACTTATCCTAGCAAGAAGTCACTTTCCTCTCAAGTCCCTAAAGCATAGTATTCATTCTCTTTGGTAAAAAAGGCCACCACAAATAGTGGCCCATGGGTCATGCCTGAGGCTTCTGACTTCCTGTCCCGGAGAGGAAACCTCTGTTCCCAGGACAGAAGGAAATTTGGGCTCAGAGGCCTGTCGTTGTCCCACATGGCCCGCACAGATTGTCTCCTCCTGCTTCCTGCGGACGAGTCTGCAGGACATTGTTGGGAGAGTGAACAGGAGGTCTGGACTTTAGAATAGGCCTATATCAGTAGAGGACAGGTGTCGCAGTAGAGAGAGTCCAGGCTTTGGAGTCAGTGAGAACTGCATTTGAATCTAGGTTCCAGGACTCCCTAGGCTTCAGTTAATTACTTATTCTTTCCAAGACTCTGCTTCTCTCCTCTGTTTCACAGGGACAGTAACTCCCGCATAGCAGGTGGTGTTAGAATCAGAGACCATACAGCTGGTGCCCAAATCTCTTTCTGCTCCCAGGGGTAACAGTGGAGCATTTCTGAGCATGGATCCAACCATCCCAGCCTAGGGGACAGAACTCCCCCCAACTGATACAAAAGAAAAGAACCCTCCACTAACCTGTGACTTAACGATCCTGATGCTGAACTTGCTGGGCAAATCATCATTGCCCTGGCCAGGCTCACAGGAAACACATTGTGCTCTGGATCCTGGGCTTCTGCACGCCCAGGAACGCCTTCTGTCTACGTCACTGACCTGGCCGGGGCCAACTTCCTCTTCCTCTGCTTTCACATTACCAGTTCCCTGAAGAATCTCATCAACTTTTTCCATCCCATCTCTACCTTCATCCACCATATTTAGTGCTGAAAAAACTATATACATATGTGTGTATACGCACATATATATGTATATACACACAAATACATGTATCTCTCATATAAAATACACATTGGTCTGTATTTTTATTTAACCTATCTTAGAGGTCCTTTCATATCAGGTTGTTGTTCTTTTCATACAGCTACAGAGTGTTCCATAAATGGACCATAATTTATACAGTATCGATGGCCATTTTAGCTGGTTACAACCTTTTATTGCAAGTAATGCTACATTCATTCATCTGTACCTATGTCCCTTGAACATACAAGGGTATACCTCTGGGATAAATTCTGAGGTTAGGAATTACAGGGAGAAAAGTATGAGACTTTGTATGTTTGTACATATTGCAAATTGCCTTGCCTGAAGGATGTATACATTTGCACTCCCACCAGACAAGAGAGAAAGTGCCTGGTCCCCACCATCTCCACACAGTACGCTGTCAAACCTCTTGGGCTTTTAGATGGGAATAAGTTAAATATAATTCTGTGTAATTTTAATTCATGTCTTTTATTAGACTTGGGTTTCTTATCCTTCCATATGTTTAAAAGCCATTTTTATTTTCAAGAAATTAGGAATTCATGACCTCAGTCATTTTCTCATTGACTTCTTTAATTTTACATCTTCATTTTACAGAAACTTTTTATAAATAAAATAAGTTAGCACTTTGGCTATATGTTACCAATATTTTCCCAATATTTCATATTTTGAGCATTGTATTTCATGCCCTGCCAAAAAGTCTCTCTTTTGACTTTATTACTGTTGGTTGTGCCCAATAATGTGGCCTGCAGCCACCTGCCTTGACTGTCTTCTTGTCCGGGGTGGTGTTTCAGTTGATGTCTGAGGTCCTGGACTCCCATCGCACCACTTGCCCATTCTCTCCCACATCTCTTCCACTTAGTCCTCAGGCCAATCTTCCTCTGCCACCACTTTGACAAGATCAGCAATGACTCCACATTGCTAAGCCAAAGGTCAATTTCTTGAGCGCTCAACTGTAACTGACACTATTTACTGACCGATGACTCCATCTCTTGGGATCCTGGGACACTGCACCCTCCTAGTTTCCCTCCTTCCCCTACAGTTGATCCTTTACATGTTTTGCCATGACTTTCACATGCAACCTTTATCACATACTAAATTCCTATATGCATTTCTATCTCATTCTAAGATGTTTGCTCCAATGATCAGTTTCTCTACAGATGGTTTACTGGATGCAACAATTTCTCCAGACTCTTAACAGCTGCAAACCCCTTCAGACCTCTTTCCTTTTCAGTCTCTATTAACTTTTCATTCAGCTCCTTGAGGATAAGCTCCAAAAGACTATGGTCTAGTGTTATTCACACTGAAGTTCAAATGCCTGACATGGCGCAGGTACCTCACGTGTCTCTATTAGTTTGCTAGCACCACCATAACTCAGTAGCACTGAATACACGGATTCAACAACACAAGTTTATTTTTTCACAACTCTGGAGACTAGAAGTCTGAGATGAAGGTGTGGACAGGGTTGGATGACGTCTTACTCTCTCTCCGTCTTCACATGGTCTTTATTCTGTGTGTCTATGTCCTAATCTCCTCTTCTCTAGGATCACAGGCCCTGTCGGATTAAGACCCAGGCTTACAGCCTCTTTCAAACTTGATTACCTCTTTACCATCCCCATCTCCACGTACTGTACAGCAAGATTATCACTAACTTGGGGTTAGGACAACATATGATTATCACAGGGGCAAAATTCAGCCCATAACAAAGACCTTATTAAATAGTCACTGAAAGAGTGAGTTCAAGAACTGTTCTCAATATTTAAAAAAGAATCTAATTCAAATGACATTTTTAAAAATGATGATTGGCTTAATTTGGTGGTAGCTTGAGGCAAACAAAGAATGAAAGCATAGGATATGATTCCAACTGGGTTTGAATTCAGGTTTGAGGTGACATATCACCTTCTGATTGGTTATTTATTCCCTGTGTGCCTCTGTTTGCCTCCTCTGTAAAATAGGAACAGTCATTCTGACTTTGCATGTTGGTCGTGACAATCAGAGATCACACAATTGTTGCTCATGTCTTGTTTGTGTTCCCAGGGGCACGAGTGCAGCGTTTCTGAGCATGGAGTCAACTACCCCAGCCTGGAGCACCGAATTCACAACAAGGAATGGAAGTACCAACACCTATTCTCGACCTTGTGAAGTGGAAACTCTGATCTTTACTTGCCTGGCCGGCATCACTGCCCTGGTCGGGCTGCTGGGAAACGGCGTTGTGCTCTGGCTGCTGGGCTTCCGCATGCGCAGGAACGCCTTCTCCGTCTACATCCTCAACCTGGCCGGGGCCGACTTCCTCCTCCTCTGCTTCCAGATTATAAATTACCTAGATGACCTCATTGACTTCTTTCATTCCATCTCCATCTCCTTCTCTAACGTCTTCCCCACTGTGTCGACTTTTGCCTACCTTGCAGGGCTGAGCCTGCTGAGCGCCATCAGCACGGAGCGCTGCCTGTCCGTCCTGTGGCCCGTCTGGTACCGCTGCCACCGCCCGAGACGCACATCAGCTGTTGTGTGTGCCCTGCTCTGGGCCCTGTCTGTGTTCTTTAGCATCCTGCTAGGGTCCTTCTGTGTCTTTCCGTCTTTGATTTCTGACCATAATAGGTGTCGGACAGTTCACTTCATCATAGCTGCATGGCTGGGTGTTTTACTTGTGGTTCTCTCTGGCTCCAGCCTGGTCCTGCTAACCAAATTCCTCTGTGGTTCCCGGCAGATGCAGATGACCAGGCTGTATGTGACCAGGCTGTATGTGACCATCCTGCTCACAGTGCTGGTCTTCCTTCTCTGCGGCCTGCCATATGGCATTAAGTGGTTCCTATTATTCTGGATTGAGGATGATGTTAACTTCCTTTGTCATCTTCATGCAGTTTCAGTTGTCCTGATGTCTGTCAACAGCAGCGCCAACCCCATCATTTACTTCTATGCGGGCTCCTTTAGGCAGCAGCGGCGGGAACGGCGGCAGAACCTCCAGCAGGTTCTCCAGCGGGCTCTGCAGGACACTCCTGAGGTGGATGAACGTGGGGGCAGCCTTCCTCAGGGATCCCTGGAGCTGTCGGAAAGCAGATAGGCCAGGGAGGAACAGCCTCTGCCCTGGTCAGTCAGATGTGGCTCTGACGGTCAACACGGCCCTGGCACGCTTCACAATTACATGCATTTTTCTCAACCTTGTGCCACTGAAATGCCTCAGTAATTCCCCAATACCTTCAAATAAATTTCTTTTTAATCCGGCTTTTCTAGTTTTACTGAGAGAAAGCATTATCTGAAATACACTGTCTCCATCCTTCTTGACATTACCAATAATTTTCTCATGTTATCTTCCTCTGAATCTTTCTATTGAAAACATTTTCTTTGCAAGTTTCATTGCAGTGGAAAGCATGCCTGTCTAAAACCACACAACTCTTCTCTATAGTTGTTTTCTACTTGACAGTATCAAAAAAGCCTCCTTATTTATCACTCAGAATATGTTACCCTGAAATTTATGTTCACTCTGTGACTGGGGAGGCCATGCTGCAGGGGGAAGCGGGCTCTGAATGAGTGAGCTCTGCTTCCTATAAATCTCACTGAGTTCTCAGGTATTAGAAAAACAATGTCCTTAGAGACAGACTCTCTGCCTTCATAAAAACAGTCTAGCAAATTGGTTTTATGGAAAGTATCCTTTGACCATGGTGTGTCATTTGACCATGGCTGTCATTTGCTCATGGCATGGTAACAAGTTGGCCTTGGTTTCTAGTAAAGAAAACCATGGCCCCCTACCCTATAAAACTGGTGAGTGGTCATGTAGGTCTTCTGCACCTGGGGACCAGTGTAGAGTCTATAAGTATTCCCCAGTTCCACCTTCACCATTGGCAACCTCAGTATTGTTTTCAGAGAGCAATTTGTCTTGAAAACCGTTTATTATTAGCTTAAAGTTTATTGGTAAGAGGATTCTGTATACTTCCAGTTTTTGCAAAAAAAAAAAAACTGCCTGTAACTTTCAGTTAGTTCCATGTCCAGTCACCATGGGAATCAGGATTGAAAACATCTAACCTTTTCATAATCATGTCTGTTACACTATGCTAATAATAATGTTGGGTTAGCACTGAATTCTGATACATGCTGGGACGTAGATGAACCTTGAGAACATTGTGCTAAGTGAAAAAAGCCAGACCCAAAAGAACAATATTGTAAGTTCAACCCCTGTAAGGTATCCAAACCAGGAAAACTGATCACACAGATAATACCAAGGATGGGGTAAGGGGACGATGTATAGTTATTGTTTACTGGATATAGAATTTCTGTGTGACATAATGAAAAGTTCTTAAAACGGTGACAATGGTTACATTTTATGCTAAGTATACTGAATGCCACCGAATACACTTAAGTGGTTAAAGTAGTAAAATGTACATTATGTAAATTTTACCACAATTTTCAAAAATGATTAATTAAGGAAACTAGGATCAACGTAGAGTTGAGGACTAATATGTGCCACTGGTTTGTTTCCACAAAGAACTCAAGCAGACACAAGGGGCCACCATGAGATGTGACAACACAGCAGGCTCTTTGCTGCTCACAAGCAGTGTGGCTGCGCCTCAGATTGACTGTCACAGAAGGGACCCAACAAATAAACTGAGTACCCAGGAGACAGTATAGGGCAGCTATGATATGAAAAAGTCCATGGTTTTCAGATTTTCCAATCAAATTCTTTGATTGCTTTTATAACATAGTTAGTATACAGAACTCAGGTTGCCTGAGTCCAGATGCAATCCTCTTCCATGTCCAGCACTCTGCTGATTTTGTAACCTGCATGTACAGCCTTGATTTTCAAATGTCTTAGTAGGACTTGGCTGTCCTGAGGACTCCGTGCTGCGGGAGGAGGCAGGAAGACAGTGCTTGCGGCCTGTGCACCAGGTAAGGCACTTTATGTGATGTCGTCACTTCAGATTAAGGACTATTATGAGAGTTAGCCCTGTGAGTCTGTCATATCATCAATTGTACAGCTTTGGCTGAAGACGTTCTCCTTCATGAGGAGCCCCGTAGAGAAATTTCACCTGGGCACTGGTCAATTTGATGTCAGGGACATTCCTTTTCAGGGTGTCTGCAAGAAATCTTAGAGTCCCTGCAGGCTTAGGCTCAGCCCCTGAAGCCCAACAGAACTAATTTGGCCCCAGACATTCCTCTATTAAGCACTGAGAACACTGCACTTCAATGATTTGTCTCCCTGTCTCCCTCGTCCACAGCACCGTGAGGTCTTTAAGAGCAGAGAATGTGTCTCTGAATCCCTAGTGCTTGGGACTGGGCTCAGAATTTAGAAGATGCTCAGAGACTATTAATATTTTTCTGAGGCAGCTCCCACCTGAAAATCACAGGGTGGTCCAGCATCTTGAAAAGACTGGCTCAATCACCAGGTCGCACTGTGGCTCCCACAGCCACCTCCCGCTCAAAAGAGCAGTCAGTATCCTCTGAGAGAGGCTCCTCCCTTTCATTGCAGATCTGCTCACTGCTATGGGGGAGAACGGAGGGGATGCAGGAGTCTGCTCATGAGGTGCCTCTTTTCAAGGCTAGTGATGGATTTTCCTCTCAGTTGCATGTTGCAGAGGAAAGCGAAGGATATCCAGGAGTCTCCTCCAGGAACAGGGAAAAGATTTAAAAGTCCCTCAGGGCACCTTATGGGAGCTGTCATCCATGACTCCGTATTTACGCATGAATTCAACAAACGTTTCTAGCTACTTGATCAGGCACTGTGTTAACTAACTCAATATAAAAGTAAATTATCTTTTCAATAAGTCCCTGGCTAAAAGACTAGCTCTATAAATTATCCTGTCCATTCCATCTAGGATATATTTTGATTCATGCCCAGTAAATCCTGAACCTTCATGGCCATGCACTGACTCTCTAGTACACCTGGGTACAAGAGCACCAAGTCCTCAGCCTCAGAAGGAACAATTAGTTCTATTTCCCATCCTGCTTATCCCAGTTGGACTTGACGGTGTAATGACCTAATTGGTCAAAATACAACGTAAATACATGAATTACAAGTATGAAAGGAGGATTGCAGTTTCAATGAAAACTACTGATTAAAGGGGAAATAAAAGTAGATTCAAAGTTATTGTTATTGAATTCGGTGTGAACCTCCCAACTATATAAGATTGAAAAAAGATAAGCAATATTGAAACATATCCTCAGAATGCTATACATTTGATGCTAAGATCTCCACTTAAATAAATCCAAACTGAAAATCATAAAAAATGCTTGATAGAGTGGAATTCTATTTCCTGAATGCTACTCAAAGGAAAGTCCTCTACTCTAGTTCAATGGTCCCCAACCTTTTTGACACCAGGGACGGCTTTAAGGGAAGACAATTTTTCCAGGGACGGGGAAGGGGCGGGAAGGTTTCAGGATGGTTTCCGCATGATTCAAGCGCGTTACATTTATTGTGCACTTTACTTCTATTATTATTACATTGTAATATATAATGAAATAATTATACGACTCACCATGGGTTAGGGACCCCTGTTCTAGTTTAATTCTGTTGAATTAATTCAAGGTAAAAATGAAATACGTATATTACAAATGTATCCTTTTTTATAATTACCAATTAACAGAACAATGAAATCACTGTATGTACTTGCGGTTCTGAATATATCATTAAGTGAGCTTCTCATAGCAAGATCACTTACTTAATCTTCAGTTTATTCTATAAATACTTACTGAGCATCTCCATACTCCAGCCCACATGCCAGACACTGGGGAGTCAAGGACAACACTCCCAACTTCACAGAGCTCACATCTGTAAAATGGAGCCTAGTGCAAGAAAGACTGCCATGCAATGTGGAACATGCTGTCATAGAGTTGGGTTTGTGACTTCAGGGTACCCTGAGCAGGGAGAATCTAAAAATTCTAATGGGTCTTGCTTCCAACCTGAAGAGAAATGTCATACCCAAGCACCCAGGTGATGCATCATGGTATGGTTCCAAGAAATGAGAGAATGTTCACCAGGTGGCTCCTCCTGGTAGACAACAAACTCAACAAAGGTATTGTAATTGACAAAACCACAAGACTATTAAGCTGAATCATATAGCAGCCCTCAGTGTAGAGTCTGACATCACTCCAATGCACAATTCCTGAAAACATTCTTTAAGGAGAGTTCACGCTGGTGCTTAGGCCACAGGAATTGTGCCACTACCTACTCCCACTATGCTTGTTGCAACGGAGGAAGCCCTTGCCTCCAGCCAAGCCCTACTCAGCATCAAGAAATCCTGGGATATGTAGGCATGCAGAACCTATGAGTGCTACATTGGGAAGAACAATGGACCTGGACCTGGGAATCTGGAATCTAAGCTGACTACATGACCATCATGGTTCTTGTGCCCATTCTAGGCAACCCAAGCAGATAGTGAGGTTATGGGATGCCATTTGTGCTCAGGTATCTGTTTCCATAGTATGGTGTAAGTTTGGACTTTACCATAGATGTGCACTAAAGATAACTCTAGTTGTGACTGAAGCAATCTGAGAAGTTTATGTCTCTACACAGTGACTATAACCACAATATGCACATACTCCTCTCACCTATGTGGCAGCTAACAGGGTTTTGAATATATTGCTGAATTGAATATATTGACGTTCATCTAAATATTGGTGTGGTATGTATTGGGCACCAACATTGTTAACACACCAATGGTGGCTCTAAATACGGATGGGATTTGGTTGCTGTTCTCTAAGAGGTAGAGTGTGGAGGATTAGGTTTCCTTACACATGCCTGTCATATGAGTCCCGTTGTTCTGAATCCTTCGGGAATGCAAAGGCAGAGATGGGAAGCCAACAGGAATAAAATCTCATTAGTAAGCATTTGTGTGACTGTGAATAGATCAGGGGATGGTTCTTGAAATATTTGGAATTTGGACTAAGGACTCGCAAATTTGCTAAGCATGTACCCTCTGTCACTTTTGCCATCATAAAAAATTTTTGAATTAGACAAGGAAACATAAATAGGATCTGGACAGATGGAAATGTTAGAAGAAGTCATTTACAGTGGCATTGTTAGTAGGAGCATAGTGTTGTTTAGGGAATAGTGATCAACATGTAAGTGAG